GCGTGGAGTATCAGGCAATGGCTGGCGTAGATGCCATGGTCCCAGACTTGGGAGAGAACCGAGGCTTCCAGCAGCCAGGAGTTGATACCTTGGAGGGATGGTATTCTTTTGTGAAGAAGTACGCGACGGTATTTTTGCGAAAGTGCGCGGTATTCCTCCATGTCAAGTACGGTGTGGACTTTAACAGCCACATCTCGTCCGATGCTGGCGCTGATGAGCTGGATCGTCTCACGGAGGCCCTGCGACTGCCGACATTTGATGAAATGTGTGCAGTGATGACGGTGGACTCGATGACGTGTGGATGGCCTAGCACTACACCAGCGTTGGTGACAGGTTGGGTGAAGCATCAAGTGCTCTGGACTAAGGGTTATCCCACCTCGGTTCCTTCAGCGGTGGTCAGTCATCCAGGCATATTCGAGCTGATTGGGCTTCCGCGAACATTCGACACGTTGATCGAGGAAGCAACGAGGAGAAAGTGCCCCACGACGGGCAAAGACCTCACGGACCCCATCATTTGCCTTTTCTGTGGAGAGTTACTCTGCAGCCAGGGCACATGCTGTCAGAAGCCTGATACGGACGGATCCAAGATTGGCGGTGCCCAACAACATATGCGAAGGTATAATCATCTCCCCCTCCCCCTTCCTCCTTGAAGAGGGTTTTAATGACTAACTTTTGCTTCAGGTGTCAGAGAAACATTGGAGTGTTCCTTAATGTACGCAAGTGTTCTACGGTCTACCTGTTCCACAAGTCGGGATCATTTACGCCTGCGCCGTACATTGACAAGTATGGCGAGACGGATCCACAGCTGCGCCACGGACGTCAGTTGTTCTTGAATCAGAAGAGATACGATAGCATGATCAGAAGCACCGTGCTCAAGCATGGAGTTCCGAGTCTGATAAGTCGAAAGTTGGAAGCAGAAATTAACAATGGCGGCTGGGACACGTTGTGAGACTATGGGAATCGCAAACGAAGAGCGGGAACGGTGTAATGAAATGTAGTGAGCATGTGGTCGCTTCGATTCATTCAGGGCAGGGTCGGGATCGTCATTGTTGGCGTATGGGGTGGAAATTTGATGTTTGTCATTGTGTTTGTAACAATTGATAGAAGGGAATGTTTTTTTTTTCATTGTATGTAAGAAACGGCAGAGTGTAGGCATGGATTGTGTTTGATCTAACGTAACGAGCTCTTTTTGGTGTTCCCGGGTACAGCTCTCGATGAGATGAGTGTATTCATGGGCTTAAAGAATCATCAATTAGGCATCGACAACTCTTCTCACAGACGTGTAGAGCTTCATTGACTTGCCGGCGTAAGTTGATACGTGGATAGGCATATAAAGAGACAGGACAGTGTCGATTTACAGTGTCAAGTTGAAGCTGGTCACTGTGGTGGGAAACGGCCAGCCAATCGGGTCACGGCGCCCCAAAGAGCTAAGAAGCAACGCGCCGCGAAAAGGCGATACAAGGGAAGCGAAACGAGAGGCGCTGGTTGGTTCGCCCGCGAGGCTTCGCAGTTCCTTCTGACAGCTTCAACGTTTGCTTTCCCTCTGCACGGCGACAAATTGGTGGCCACGCTCACGCTCACGCTCCAGACCGTTTGGCGTCGTTTTTCCCAGCAGCAAGAGTAAGAGCTCGCGGGGGCATCGCTGCAGAGCGAGGAAAGAGGGACGATGCCTAGCCGGAGATCAGGTCGCGCGGCGGCCAAAAAGGCTGCTGCTGCTCTTGGTACGTTTTTTTTCTTTACCAATATCTGCGAGTCATTGCGTTGGCGACGGAGCCCTTGAGCTGGTTTCGTGTAGATGATCTGTTTGGGTTTATCCTGTACATGATCTGCAGCTGAATTCTTTTTTTTCTTTTCTTTTTTTCTTTGTCCTTTCCTCGTTTCTTTGCCATCGGAAGCGCACTCGATCATAGCAATCATGGGGAGTCGGCGGATTCGAGTCAAGCTAATTCGCCGCACAGGAAGCACGCCCAAGGGCTATGCCGACATTGAAGACGAGCCCATGCCCGATATCGAGGCTGACGCGGGCGCGAATGCTTCTGCCGACGAAAAGGACGATGATGTCGATGAGATCGAGGCCAGGGAAGAGGAATCCGGAGATGATGATGGAGAAGCCGCAGACAAGGACGACGATGGCGACGAAGAGGACGAATCAGAGGCTTCCGCAAAGGAGCCAACTCCGCCTCCACAGCCCGTGATCCGTCGAAAGCGACTGGGTCGTCCCCCCAAGAACCGGCCGCCGGACTGGGATAACATGGTGACTGTCACCAAAGAGGAGGCTGATACTCCCCGTCGAAGAGGTCGCGGAGGCTGGAGAGGGCGAGGCGGCCGTAAGGGAGGACCTGCAGCGCCCAAGATGGAGCAAGTGATTGATGCTGAGGGCACTGTGGCCGACATTGTCGACGACGAATGCGTCCTTCCCGAGGACGCTGAAGGCGAAACCAAGGTTGACAAGATGGGCAATCTACAAGACGGGCGCGACTACCGGTGCCGAACATTCAAGGTGCTGGGCAGAGGCAACCGACTCTACATGTTGTCAACTGAGCCGGCACGATGTGTTGGCTTCAGGGACAGCTACCTCTTCTTCACCAAGCACCGCAAGCTCTACAAGATCATTGTAGATGACGAGGAGAAGCGAGACATGATTGAGCGAGACATCATCCCCCACTCGTACAAGGGCCGGTCAATAGGAATTGTCACGGCTCGATCGGTGTTTCGGGAATTTGGATCCAGGATTGTCGTGGGAGGCAAGCGCATCATCGATGACTACGCCGTCACTCTGGCCCGCGCAGAGGGAGCCATTGAGGGGCAACTGGCCGACCCTGACGATCATTTCGTGGTGGGAGAGCCGTACAACAAGAACCAGTACGTTGCATGGCACGGTGCCAGTGCCGTATACCATACCAATGCGCCTTCGGTGCCGGTGCCCACTGGCAAGGTCGAGTCCAAGAAGCGCAAGGTCAACGTCAACGACACAAACTGGATGTTGGAGCATGCACGAGAGGCAAGGTACGTGAAAGATGGCCATTAACACACACTCTCTGGGGGAGCTCTGTCTAACATTGCTCGCAGTGCATTCAACGCAGGCATCAATGCCATTAGAAAGCTGAACAACGCTGGTGTCTACGATATTCACACAAACATTATGCAATATCCGGCTGCAATGCAGCCAACGCTTGCGCGCATTGAGCAGGTAGCACCACACGACGAAGAGGCCACCCGAGGCGATGCCATGTTTCCCCCGGTCCCTCTCAAGATGGCCAGAAACTTTTCCGTCATTGACACCTACTTTGAGACACCAGCGGCAGGAGGAGCTCTGGCTGCAGTTGAAAAATCGGATCCGGCAGATTTTGTCTCTCAGTTCAACGGGCTGAGCGCCGTGTCAGATGAGATTCGGGACTTGCTGCCCCCGGAATGTCGAGAAGCATTCAACAAGGCGGTGCAAAGAGAAGAGGGCTGGAGATCACGCTGGGGCTCCGAGGCAACACACATGGCACGAAAGGACCCCGTAATCGACAAGGCCATTGTTCCGTATAACATGACCGGATAAGATGGAAGAACGGGTTGTGCTTGGGGACTTTAATTGTCATGGACGGTTACGAGAAGGGAGGCATGGCCTGGAAATGCCTCTGGGGATTAATTTTGTAAACGGGGCGTCTCTTTTTTTGGGCCCTTTTTTCGCTTTTACTGTTTATTAAGAAGGAATGGATGGCCGGATGCAACAGATGGCGTTGGGAGTACCAAGAAGCAGGTGGTGATTTTAGTCAAGAGATTTCACTCGCCCTTAGGATATCTCATCTAGCTGAGGAACTTGGGAAGTTGGTCTTGATACAAAATGATGAGACTTTTTACGTATTTTTCGTCTCCGGATTGTAGGTTAGAAGCGGTAATCGTTGTCGAGTTGAGAGAGAAAGTCGAGTAATGTGACGAGAGTGAGGTTACAATGGGGATTCTCTTCAGCTGGCCACTAGCAGTAGCATTTGGTCGAGAGAATGTTACGGGTTTGGGCCTTGCATTTTTGACCTGCTTTTGCATTGCATGAGGGCGCGGCTGATTGGAGCTGTTGTGGCCAATGATGAGGAGTTGGTGAGGAGGTGATGTGAACTGCAGATGCACTGCCTGCGTCTTTGGTGATGCAGAGATTGGGTGATTGGATGGGAGGCGTTGAGGCCTCTTGTGTAGGATTGCGGGTTGAAAATGGATCTGCTTCTTTGTCGTGTCCTAGTTTCGTCGAGTAAAGATGAAGAGAGGCTTGTATCATTAGATGATGGAGGATATACGGAGTGTTGGACTGGGGACCCTTGCAAGTTGCAGTCACCATGTTTCTCTCACCAACTTCCTCTACCCTCACCATTTTCTCCTCCTTTCTTTTTTTTCATCTTCACCAATATTCTTTTCTTCTTCCTTCACTTTTACCCCTCCCCCGCAATGCCACTTCTGCGGGATTAATTTAGCCCTCTTGCAGCTTTCATGCATCAAATCCCCCCTCTCTCGGAAGACAACGGCGTCGAGAATCCCTTACATTGCCTGCACTTGATCATACTCGTGCGTTAGTGTGCATATATAGTAGCAGTCACTAATTCCGGTGCCCATTCAGACGGGAGCCCCCCCTTGCAACGAAAGAGGGGACTCGAAAACCCCCTTGGCACTAGGTAGTATTATACAAGAGTTTTGGTAAAAAAAAAAAAAAAATAGTAGGTAGATACTACGCTTATGCGGGAAAATATCGTGCTGGTGGTTTTGTGGGTTTAGCTTGGGGGGGCCGAGGCCATGACTGGCATATGAGGATGCATTGGACGAATGCGGAGGGACGTCATAAGAAGGGTCTAGATGGCTGGAGGGGTTTCGATGACTTGAGGCTAATGTGGGAGTTTTTGGGAAGAGGGGAGGAGACGGGGGTGTGTTGATGGTGTTTTGTTGTTTTGTCTGGGGTGTAGTTCGTGAGATGCCGGGATATTGTGTTCTGAGTTGTATCTGTCTGAGTGTGTTTGACACAGGTACATGTATGTAACGTTTTGATGTGCATTTAATATATATAATATGTAATATGTATGTAATATATCTAGTTTATAACTCACACGCCAACATACTGGCACAGCAAATGCATCTGATAGATGACCAAGCCATTATAGCTCCAGCTCCTCGTGTTCTCCTTGTCAAAGAAATAGAAGCCAAACAGCGGCACCACGCCCAGCACCTGGTCGTCCGGCAGATCCTGGACCACCTCCTTGTGCGTGCCGACGTCGTACATGGTAAAGTCCGGGTCGAACCGCAGGCCGTGGCGGCCGAGAATGTCCGTCGCCCGCGACGCCAGCGTCATGAAGGCGTCGAGGCTCCAGACGTTGCCGGCGCGCGCGCGCTTGATGGCCTCTTGCTTCCAGTGGCCGAGCTCGGTGAGGAAGACATTGCTTGTGCCCAGGGCGGAGAGGACGCCGTCGACGGCGGATTTGCTGAGGAAGCCGAGGTCCTTGGTTTTGGTCTACTCTGGGTGTTAAGTGACTGCTGTATGATGTGGTTTGTAGTTTAGAGACTCACAGCGGGAGGAACCTGTATGTCAGACATTGTTGCGGTGTTATTGTATATGTTTAGGAGATGTTTCTTGTAGAGGTTTATGAGAAAGTTGTCAATTGTGATGATGTCCTGAAAACATGTTACTCGGATGGCGATTCAACTGCCATTTATATACTGATTCTGAAGCAAGATACTCCAAGAGAAGACCATCGTGTAATCAAGAACGCTGTAGATTCAATGCCCATCAGAAGTCACACAAAAGACGAAAATGCAAAAGAAAGAAGGCACATTGAAGCAATTCATTGGCCATCACGATGAGCATCTCAGCTGCCATGAAGCACCTCTTGGCAGCTGAGACGACGCAAGATGCATTTTTTCAGCTGCCGAAACGAGCGTGATGCTATACCCAAAGAGTGCGGGATACACAGATGGCACATAATACCAAGGGGGGGTGATCTTTAGCAAATGTGGAAAGCAGAGGCGGTGCTGACGCTGCAGGGGAATAAGATCCAGTCAACTTGTCTATTTCTTTCCCTTTTTTTCTTCTGTTCATGCAGGCAGAACTTTTGAGATGTTGTTGGTAGAGGTGAGATTTCTGCCTTTCGGGGAGATGAGATTTGGGTCGCTTATCGCGGCACAGCCACGGGCATTTTGGCAAGGTTGATGAGATGAGGGAGGGGCAATTCACAATGAATGCTGATGGAATAAATGACGTCTATTGCTAGTATATCAAAATGATTCAAATCAAGTTTAAAACACACAAGTGTACGGAAACTAGGGGTTTAACTCACGAGCATCAAATCAGTAACCATCATCTAAACAGGGAGCCAGGGATCATCGCTGGCTGTGGCATTTAATCCAAAACTGCTTCACTCTCCCTGTCAGCATTCCGTGCAATCACGGACGGCCAATGGCATGTGATGCCATCATCTCCTTTTGGCCAATGTCACAATAAAACACATCTTGCCATACGCCAAACCCCCTCCATCGCACAAGATGAGGGGCAGCTTCACAAGCCCCCCTCTATCATGCTCGCGTCTCTCATTTCCATTGGTAGATTGCACAGCCCATATTCGTACACTGTTGCATTTTCTTCCCGTCTCTCCGTTGATTCGATCCAGCTTAATCTTAAAATGGAAAAAGCCGAACAATCAACCCCCTCCATTATGCCAAAAAGCCCGTTCCGGCCTCTCCATTTCTGCCAATGCAAGCCTCAGCTCACATTCCGAGGCAAGCAGGTACACATCATACATCATAGAAGCAGAGAGAGAAACACAGGCTGTTCCTCGTGGGGCTATATGCCATCCAATGAAACAGTCCCACTGAAACCAAAATGATTTGTATATGCCAGCTACCTGTAGTGCAAAACCCCAGTGTCAAATGAGAAAGATGAAGAAAGAAAAAAAAAGACACCTGTTTGACGGACACTTGCTGTTTTGCCCCGTCAACGCCGTACACCAAAATCCCCAATAATCTATTTCTCGCAAAATTCTTTCCAGATCTTGCTTGTATGTTCTTAGTCGTCTCTTGATGAAATTTCCAACCCGGCTTGCTTCCTAACAAGACGAACAAAAGAAAGCAAAACGATTTTCTTTCTCGGTGGCATAGAAGACCACCATCAAACATCTGCTTGTCCCCCGTTACTTGGCCCGGCCAAGTCTCTCCTCGTCGTCGTCTATTAATTCGTATGCAGGTCGGAATTCTTGGCCGTTGCCCTGTTTCTTCAATCGAGGGTTCGGCAGGGTATCACCTCTTCCGCCCAGACTCGTGTATCCCTTTCAAGCTTGTCAGCTCCATCAATCCCATTGTAAGGGGGACTAATGAATAGAGAGGGCATGGTAGCATACCTGATCATATAGGGGGCAGTATGGAACATCCAAATGTCGAGTAAACTAATGTCCTTGTCAGCTCCTGATCTAAAACATCTAGCCTCAGTCGCAAAGACTCACAGCCCAAATCTCCGCTGTTTGGCAAATTCCGTTAGCATACATGTATGTAGCTCTGCACAGTTCGCGCAGAATCAAAGGGGGGATACCAGCAGCACTCACTGTAATGCCAATCAATCACGGGATGTATCCGCATAAAGTCAGGCCATCCCGCGTCCGTCGGGTCAAAATGCTTCAACTTCTCGCCATGCGGATCCGTCCGCCGAGTCCCCACGAAAATCGCCCGTATGCTAGGGTTCTCCGCCTTGAACACCTCCAGCCCCTTCTTCATCGGCAACATAAAGCGGGCAATGTCCAAGTGGTAATCTGCGCTGCTTGACTCCACAAACTCGTCCACCTCTGCAAAGGGATCCGCGGAAACAATATAGACGGCGTGCAGCTTCTCGGGGAAAGGCGCCAGCTTGGTCGGTCCGTTGGGCACGGCGGCGCCCAGGGCAGACTTGGGGGGTGAGTATCGTCGCGCATAGCAGGCGAGGAGGACGATGAGCATCACGAGGCCTATTTGCGCATAGTTAGCATTCAAAAGCATATCCCAGCGAGAGCGCGCCAGCAGCCGAAGCTCTGCTGGCACGTGCAATCCGTTTTCTACGTACAGTCTTTGCCGCCATTGTAAGATATGGATATCTCGCCCGGCCTGTAGACGCACCAGTGTCAGCCATTCCAGTCAAACCCAGGAGTCACATGCATCCATCGTAATCCACCACATACCGATACCTCTCCAGCGCCTCCTCCACCACGCGCACCGAGATGCGCACCTGCTCCTGCGCCCTTCGCAGCAGCGGCGTCTCGGGCTCCTCAGCGAGGAACGCATCAACCTTCTCCCTCATGGCGACACATGCCTCGTACAGCGAGCCGTATGCCGGGCCGGGCTGGTTGGAGTGGCCGTTGATGGTGGCCATGGCGGCCTTTGCGGCAATGGAGGGAACGGGGACAGCGTGCATTCGCGATTCGTGTACGGATACGGATATCGTCATTGTAGATTCTAGCAGCAGCGAGGTGGGAGATTGCACATCACATAGAACATAGAACAAAGCAAAGTACCCGGGAAAAGCTCTCCAGATAAAAAGGGCTCTGCGATGCCTCGGGCTACGCGGGTCCGAGGGTACAGTATGTTGACAGTCTGGTTGATTGCCGGCAAGACAGTAGTTGATGTCAGCAGTTGCGCTTGCACATGCCGAGCCCCGACCGGATTGGCGGGGTCGCAACGGCCCTTGGCTCTGCGCCCACTTAGACGCTGGCAAATGCTCAACTTCACCGGCCGTCGCTACGATTTGGCAGAAACTTCCACGGGGCTTCCATTTTATTTGCCGCCTCTTTTTAGGATTTCTGTTGGGCTCGCTTTTGGGCTGGGCTCTTTGCAATCCTCAGCTTGGAGGTTGAGGTTGAGCGCCGTTGTCTCTGTATGAGTGGCGGAATTCCATTCAGGCCGCGAATCCAGCGTGTCGAATCCGTCTCCTTCTTCTAGCTGCATGCGAGTACGAGTACATGGGTCGTATCTCTGTCAGATTGAATCCTTTCTGGAGGGTTCCATGTCGCTGTTGCTGGGCAGCCAGGGTATCATCCTTCATATGTATTGTAGCGAGAGACGGAGGAAATAATGTGAAACGACGGTTTGCTACGATAGACAGCATTGTACCAAAAAGTCTCCCATCATCAGGCAGAGCCCTCTTCTCCGATCAACATGCCGTGTCACCGAGTAAAAGTCGAGCGCGGGCCGGCGCAGGGATCTCGGACTTGGACATCTCCGGAAAGCCTCGTGGGATCGCGCGTCGCCAGCGGAAGAAGCCCAATCCCTCTGGCAGCATCTCTGCTCATCTAGATCAACCTCTTGGGGATCACGCTCACTGATTGGACCTATGAAACAGGTCCATCTATTAAGGCTTTGCAACGTCATGCATAGAGTGCCCGACTACCTTAGGCCGGTTGGGACGCAAATTGAGCCGGATCTCGACTTCAACTTCATTCTCAATCTTTGACATTTTCACCTTTTTCCAGTAAAGAAGATAAAAGGGGACGATCGTCGTGTCATCAACAAAAGTGTATCGGCGTCGTTCACTTCTCGCAACCTTCCAAAGAGTGGTCTGTCTTCTCTCCTTGAGCAGACTACATCTCCGCATTATGAACTGGACATGAGCAGTTGAGGCATCGCCTGGTATGAGAGTCCACCCGTCGCACGTGGACACCACCAAGAAGATTCACCAGATTCACACAAGATTCGTACAAACCTTTGCTCGTTTTTGTATGGCCTCCCCGTCCGCAAAACACCAAAATAGCTCCGGGGTAGCATGGCCAGGCAGCCCATTCTTCACAACATGCGTCATGCAGCAATCCGCGCTTAAACGGACTTTTTGGCCGCGGAATGTGCGAAAACATTTCCTTTACCCTCTCTTATTTCTTCTTGCTCTCTTTTTTATTTCCTCACTTGTCACTTTTTCTCTTTTCGGCCCCCCGTCTTAGCGGCGCCGGGTAGAGTCGCCCACGTTTCTGCCTCTGAGGAGCCCAACGGGCCACGAGCAGCCAAATGGCCCACTACTGCAGTCGCCTTTGTGATAAGCCTGCAGTGACTTGCAGGACGCCTTTCAAGAAAAGCAATAAGAAAACTCCACAAAAGCTCCGGGTTGACCTGTCGATAGATCCATGCAGCCGTTGCTTCATCGTGGAAATCACGCAGCCCCTCTTCTTGCAACGCACACTCTCCAAGGCAGTGGTCCAAGCCCCCACGCTGACGAGGGGAAGCCTGTCGCTTCTCTTCCCAAGTTTGCGCGTTTCAAGTGCTCGCACAGGAACGAGATTCGGGGAAGGGCAAGGCCCGAGGCCTCTCAGACTCTTGTTCCCGCGCTGGCGTCGGGCTTTGCTGAATCTGAGGTGCCTGTCTCAAAGCTTCGGCACTGTATGACACAGATATGCCTTTCTTTGTCGTTCTGTCTCGCCTCTCAGCCAGATTTGGTTGTCCTGCTGGCAACAGCGATCCAGTGCCGTAGGTAATATCGCCATAGTGCAAGACATTTCTCTCGTAAGAGTCGAGTCGCCGAGTCCGCAAGCCACGCATCGAACGAGCTTTACCCGCTTGATTTTGATTTTACCCCTCCCCCTCACCAGGAACAAGTTTTTTCGACGACACTGCCCTTCCCTTCGTACTTTGTATGTACTGTACCCTAATGCAAGAGACCCTTCTTGCCTTCACCGCCCTGTCTCCACATTGCGAAACGAGGAAAAAGGGCAGAGACAAAGAGAGACACCCAAGCCCAGCCAGTCTCGTTGCAGCATCCTCCCTCTGTGGCTCCCATGCTTACGAACTAATATCTTGCTTTGTCTTTTTTTGCCGCCGGCGCATCGACTCTTGGACCTGCTTGGACCAAGCAGATCGGCTCGCTCGGCGGATACCCCCGGGGCCGGAGGTGGGGACTCAACAAAGCGTGACCAACTTGCTTCGGGGCCAAGCCTCTCGCATTCTTCCATTCATGTTGTCAGCCAGCCATCACAGCGGCATGCTGGGCGTTCATAGGGGCCAGCCTTTTGGCCTTTTGGGCCGTGGCGCCAAATCACAGCGCGCACCCTCGAGGCCACCGACGCACAGCGCTTGTAGGCCATCCCCAGAGCGTAGGCGACGGCCGACGCAATCCTCTGCGGCTCCGGTGCTGGAGTCCGACGAACCGGCCTTGAGCACCTGAAATGAAGAGGACTGCTGAGCGTGGCGTTTTGCAAACTTGGTCGTGACTGGCGGCGATGACTCGTCCTGGTTCACGCAGAGCTGACCACACCGTGATCGTCACGCCTGTCTTTGTCGTCTGCTTGGAAATGTGACTCCTTGGTTGCGTGTTCAACCTTCTGCCGGCTGACGCAGTGGTGGCAATGTTGGTGTCGAGATGGACACATCCTTGCACATTGTAGACTTAAAGATACCACGGCTATGCAGGTCTGGAGGTACTGTGTCACAGTGTCTTGGTCAGATGTTGGCCACTGATGATCGTCACCACGCAGCTTGGGTAATACATCTATGCGCGAATGCAGGTCGATCGAGCAGATGTGCGTCCTCTAGGCTCTAAAGAGTTTCGATTGACACTCTATTGGGAGCGGTCCAGGGTAGCAAACAGGATTCACCTCGACACGCACAAGACACAGTCCTCCCACAAAGTACATGAGCTGCGTGTACTCGTATTACTCCGTAAGTCGTAGTAGCCGATTCCGATGGAATATCGTAGTTCCGACTCATCGTCTTGCTGTTCAAAATCGTCCAGCGCCACTGCTGGCTGGTAGTGCTACGGTAAGAATTACGTTGACCTATTATTAGGCAGAGCCACTCTACGCGAACCCATCCGGAGCCCTCCGCAAACAGGATCTTGGAAAAGAAACTCTGGCCAGCAGCCAAGTCCCGCGGAGACCGGCCGAGAAGCCTAGGCAGACGAGAACGGGAACGATATTCCAAACAAACCTTGATTTGAATCTCTTGAATGCCTGGATCGAGGCTCCCACTTATTGACGGGGAGGGCTGCCAGGTCCATTGCAAGCTGCGGCTTTGTTTACCTAACAGCTCTCGTAGCAGCCTGGCCAGGACGACGCGTGATCGAGCAGGCAGTACGTGTAAGCCAGCCACGCCTGAGTGAGCACTGCGACGGCCGGCCGGCTGCGGGCCATTCGACGTGTATTTTTGGGACGACAAAGACCCTGAAGCTGAGGCTGAGGGTGTTGACACCCATGGGGAATGATCGTCATCGTTATTAGCATCAAATCGAAATAGGCCTGGCGTATGGTCTCCCCCCTTAGCGGGCTTTATTGCAGTCCGGGATGAGTGTAGCAATCCAAGGCAGCGAGTGCTCCGTACCGTAGCATTGAACGCGCATGCAAGAGACATGGCCCGTGTCTGGGCGAGTGTGAGCAGCCAAAACCAGGCCCTTGGTCAATGTACTCACTTTGCCGTACAGCCAATGTACAGCAAGTCTCGGATGTGCGAGAATGTACGATGTACATACGCGCGCACACAAGAGCTCCACCCAGACACATTGGTACGAACTGTTGAGGCAGATTGGCAGGGCGGCGTGTGATGATGTGCAGGCCATTTTTTATGCCCAACCATCGGCTTGCATGCCACTCGCTCCATGGCTCGGGAATGGCACAAAAGCAGGTTGGGCAGACATCCTGTCTCGTCCACTAACGTAGCAGCATGCGCCAATGACTGTGCAATACAGCAGCGGACATGGTTGAAACGCCATGACCCAAAACAAAGACCGACATTCACTAGATCGAGGCAGGTACATACAAGGCTGCAAGCAGTGCGACCAGTACGAGTACTCGTGCCTGGACTCTGCACCAGTAAGACGCCAGGGCGTTTGCGTAGCGCCTTGACCGCCAGGTCCAAGTAACTACTCGTAAGAGTTGTATGGCACGGAGTCCGGAGTCCTGGACGGGGTTCAGTGTCATTAGTCGTCGACTTGCAGAATCGCCAATCCTGCCGTGCTGATTGGGCGTCTAGCCCAGCCCAGCCCAGCGCTTCTGGATCAACTTTGCCCGCACAAGGCGAGGGAAAGGCAAAAGGCGTCGAGGCGCTGGCAGAGGCTGAAACCGGATGGACGTATCGAAATTCAACCTTCATTTCAAGGCGACCAGTGCCGTCACAGGGGTTGGTCCGGTGCATGGAGCGAACTAAATCTTGTTCTCCCTGCGTCTGCTTCCCATGATCTCCTATTCTTATCGCTCGGTTGGCGTGGTTATTAGCGAGGGGAGTTTAAAAAAAAAAAAATTAAAAATTAAAAAAAGGAAACTTGGCGAGCTACTGGAAACGAACGCGCTGACCAGGCTCGTTGATGTCAGCCCAGCCCAGGCCAGGTAGCAGATCTTCCCTCGGCCCAAGTGCTAGCTGATTCTGAGACGCTGTCAGCGCATTTCCGATCCTCTGCTGCGCACTGACGCCAGACAGGAGCTAGCAGTCTAGTCGTCCGAGTAGCTACTCCGTCCACAGCGACAGGCCGTGGAGCCTGTCTAAAATTGGAGTAATCTCCATGCTTGGTATTCATCCTCCGGTTCTCCTGGGAGCAACATGAACCCACGGCGCTGGGTACGTGTGCCGTCAGGACTCCAGAACAGGGGCCGGGTCTGGACTTGTTGATCCTGGGTCGCGTTTCATTTCTCATACCAGTATTCAGTGCAGTGTGATGCACACAAGAGCAGAAAAATACACCGAGAACACAGGATGTTCAGGTCCATGCCTTGCAGCCACTCCGGCACATCCCTTCCTCAGTCCCATCAAATCGTGGGTGGGACCACTCCAGCACATGGGCGGCAAACAGGGGCCTGTTTATTTGGGAAACTCATTCTCGTACATGTACGAGTACTCCGTACAGTCGACGCTCTCTCTCTGGGGGCCATGGCTGCGGATTTTGCGGGCTGAATAATACCACCAGCCTCACACAGGAGCAATTGTTCGCTCGAGACGGCTCATTCCGGATGGTGCGGTGGGCTAGACCTGTCGTCATGTGTTCTGAAAGAAACAGATTTCTTCGTATGGGGTCGCACATGCATACGTGCTAACGGACGACTAGCAGAAAAATAACGAGGCTTGCATCCAAGGGTCGGCTATGCTTGCTGCCAGTAGTCGCTGAGGGAAAAGAAATTGAGAGATTCAGAATTAGCCGGCCGAGATTCTCCTTCGCTTCCTCCGGCGGTCGGCCGTGAAAACTGGGGGAGCCAGGCGCGAGTCGCGCGTGTGCTGCAAATCCATCATCTCGACAGCATCTCTTTCGCTGCCAGGACAAGAGCAGCTGTCCAGTTGAGTCACAGCATGATGAGCATCTTGATTATGATTGACGGGATGGCACAGGCGCTGCAGAAAGGACAGAAATCGCCTTACCACTGGCCTTTTGGCTGCATACGGCCCACCGTCTCAGAGCATTGATAGGCCATGACAGTACCTGTAATCCTGCAAAGGCACCGCCTGCTTGTGCGTACGAGTACCAGCTCGTACGTGTAAGTCGAGTTGTGTGCCAGGTACTCGTATACATGGTGCTTGCCCGGCGGAAACAAGACGACTCATCGGCCGCTTGTTGACTTGTCCACTTGTAGGCTTGTTGACTTGTCCACTTGTAGACCTGTAGACTTGCAGACTTGTCGCTTTTGGTGGACACCTGAGGGATTTCTCTCCGCATTCCCCATCACCCAAGCAGTAACGGAGATTTTTTTTTTTTTCGTGGCTAAACTTGAGTGTACTTTACGGTGTAAGGGCCGGCTGGATGAAGACTGGGGAGCGCTGTGCGTTCTTTGTGAGCGCTACGAGGACCTACTAGACCTTACGCAGGCTAGGACGCACGCATCTGGACAGGCCCCTTGTCTATGCACCGCTGATTGATCCAGAGCAAGGGAGACAAGCAGGCCGGCAGAAAAGAGTGTGGCGGGAACCAGGCAATCGAGGCGGTTGATGGCTTAGCTGGGTCGCTCACCAGACTACCTCTGGTAGTGGCAGCCCACGATGGCAGCGTTGTGCTCGGTGGTCGCGATGTTGATGGTCTCGGGCCTTGGACTTTTCTGTCCTGCTCTATGCTGCGAGTAGAAGGTCAGCAACGCCATGCGCTCTTCTGGGTCCCTGCCTCCGTTTCGTTAGTAATGAGATTCTACAGGATGAGCGAGTGTTCCGACCCGTGCGGACCACAGAGCGCCCTCGTATACGAAGCAGCAAGCAGTTCATCTGCAAGAAATGGCTACCGGGAATCCCAAAGTGGTGGCTGTTCGGGCCACCCAAGGGATCCGACAGCTCCGTTCAACGTGCGAGGGCTTGTCGATCAGAGCTTGAAGTGACTGCTCCAACAGCACCGCCACGGGAAAGTGATGAAGCGTCGATGAGACCAGACCAGCATTTCTCACAAGACGCCGCGCCGGCGCCGATTCCCACTCCAGCATGCAGACAGGGTCTCTGGACCTTATCCACGATGAACATTTGCTGGCGCTATTACCAATGCCTCTGCACACGCAGCAGGAGAAAAGCATGGCGCCTAACCGGGTTCGCTCCGTGACTCGCAGATATACCTCGTTCGAGAACGGGCATGGCCCCGTGCCAGGGACTTGGCGGATTGGTGGACCCAGCCCATTCCTTTTTGACAAGAATGTGCAGTTCAGTGACGACGGCCTGGAGACATGCTGGAGACGTGTTGGAGGCACGCCTGGCTCGCCCGTTCCGGCCACCCCTTCAATTTTGCTTTGCGTCACATCCCATCAGACGACCAGTCGCCAAAGGTGCCTGCATGTGAGTCGTCATTCCGGCCACAAGGGCGAGCGAGCATCTGCAATTTGCAGTCACCAGAGCTGGCACGGACGGTCATTGTGTACCGTACTCGTACCCTCACCACGCGTGGTAGCATCGAGCATAGTAGCTCAAACGGCGGTTCTTGTTGCAAGATTGCATTTTGACGGGGACCCATTCGTTCTTCCTTTAGCTTTGGTGGTGAAAAGGGGCAGAAAACAAACCCAAAGAAAAAAAAAAAAAAAAAAAAAGAGGAAACCGCTAGCAGTGCAAGTCCAGTACTGGACAGTACGGTACGCGTGGAATAAGGAAGTTGAGCAGAAAATTTCTAAAAAAACATCGTGCCACTTCTCCTCAGATCAGTTGCGCTCCCAACAGTCCCGGACAGGCAGGCATCGAGTGGCAACTGCGTTAACGCCCCTCGTGCACCGGAAGCAGTCCACTGTGGAAAGGCTTCAGGAGGCACCAAAGGTCTCCCAGCGCCTGGCACGCAAAACCTCCAAGCCTCCCCAGCCATCCTGCGTACGAGCACAGGTACCTCCAAGTCATCAAGTCATCAAGTCATGGGGGGTGCGCCAGCCTGCAGGGTGCGTGCCTGTATGAGAAGTACGTACCTGGAGGAGGCGAGGCACGCTGATGTATTTGCGGAGCGCCCTGGGCCAATCAGCCGGCGCACATATGCTCTGGCGGCCCTTGTTCGCAAAATTATCCAGAGCCGCGCTATCCCCATTTGACGCACTGGAATATGGAGAAGCACAACCGGCCAAGTACCCTCGCGGCCTCTTTTGCGCGTGGCGGTACTTGGACTGGCAGTCTTTCTGGCGCCTGCACGGAGACCCCCATTCCGCTAGGCTCCTAGTTGTCCCGTCAGTGGCTGTTGCGGGCCCCACCCATCCGGGGCAAAAAAAAAAGGCAAGGAAAGGAAAAAAAGAAAAAGAACGAGACAATCGACGTACTCGTACCGGAGTGCCGCCCACAGTCAGAGGACCCCTGCCACGCCCCAAGTAGGTACCTTGCCCAAGTACCCGTAGTAGCACGAGACAGGCACTACAGCACTCGTACAGGTACAATGCGGTAAAGAACCTTGGGCGGATTGGCAGGTGAGAGAAAAAAATCACACTGGCCCAGGTACCTCGCCGCCTGCATGGTGCCCACTACCGCCTTGGTACCTACCACCTAGCCCATAGTGCCTGCCACCTAGTGCCTACTGCTCTGCTACCCACTGTCCCACCGCCCATGCCCTAACGCTGTTGTTGCTGCAACGTACTTGTGCCGCCCGTAGCCTTCATCAACGCCAGCCCGCGCTCCTCTTCTGCGCTCCCACACCTCAACCTCTTCTTTCATCTTTTCTTCTTCAACCCTTTTCCTCCCTCTCTTCCCTCCTCCACCGAATTCCGAATCCGCCGATTTTACGACAAGCCTCGTCGCGAACTTCACATCGTTCGTCGACGTCTGGATTCAGGTTTCTCGCGTGAGCCTACTCCTTTTGTTTACCTCCAGCTCGCTGCTGTGCAGGTAGCTTCTTTGTGTTCCCACGGCTTGTCTGCAGTGGCCGCTATCACGTCGGTCACGTCTACTTCCGTTCCACGTTCACACCTTTGGAGGGTTTTTAAAAGCTCCTTCCGGGACCTCTCTATCGCATAGAGGTTAGTAGAGTTGCGTTTTCGACTCTTGTCGCCATGATGCCTTTCATCGTCCCGCGTATTCTCGCCGCGACTCCCGCGATTTTGTCTTGACTTATACCCTCGCACCTGCCACCTGCCACCTACCACCTACCAATACCATCGATCGATGACCGCTCGACATATCGTCACAGACGAGTTGACGATTGATAATTCGGCATCTTTTTTTCTTGCCAGTGGCGAAATTCGATCGATGTGTAATGCATTGTTCCCTTCCGTCCGATACTTCCATCTACTACACCCTTTGGTTCATCTGATCTCATTTATCCTACCATTTATCTTCACATCGATTTCTCTTCCTCCAACTCAGTCTCGCTCAATAGACTTGTTTAGCTAACAGTTTAAGCAGAAAGCTTTTCCATCCCACCTTTGTATCCTTTCTCCATCTTTTCCTCGGCCTCGCTTCTCGCTTGCGTTTACGCCCATATTTGGACTCGACGTCTCGCGAACTCTGTACCTTGGACGGCCATATTCTTTGACCGACTGCTCCGTTGCGATATCTTTTTGTCACGTCTTTTTCCATTTTTCAAATCGCTTCCAACAGATTTTTCATCGTCGTACCTCACGACATTACGATATACAACGTTAAATGGCTCTTGCATCACAGTAGAGCCACGTCGACACCTTTTTTCTTCCCGTTTCCTCGCGCCGCTTCGTCGTCTTCGTTTTCTTGTTAAGAGACCCCATACAAGACAGCCGTGCACCGTCGCGAGCTGTTTTCGTCTCTAACAAGAATTCATCATCCGACAAAGGTCATTTCGATCTTCGTCGGACCTCCTCCACTACCGTCATCATGCCCGGAGGCGTTTGTGCCGTCCTCGATTATGAGGTCGACATGATGGCTGAGTATGTCGCCGAGATGGCAACTCGCGTTGTTACTCCCGAGGCTAGCGTCACCTCTCCTTTCCGGAAGTTCGTGTCGCAGATCCTCACCTCCACGAGACTGCCCAGTACGACTATCCTTCTTGGAATGAACTATCTCGCCAAGAGAATCAACTCCATGAAGAGCCAGGGTCCGTACAAGGCCTCCGAGGGTCAAGTTTGGCGTTTCCTCACGGTTTCGCTCCTCCTCGGCAGCAAGTTCCTGGATGACAACACCTTTCAGAACCGATCTTGGTCTGAGGTTAGCGGCATTCCCGTCTCTGAGCTGAACACTCTGGAGTATGATTGGCTTCAGGCCATGAACTGGCGACTCTACGTCAACCTTGATCACAGCAAGGACTACCAGGCCTGGCTTGACAACTGGCGTGAGTGGCAGCAGATGAAGAAGCGACGCGCCGCCCAGGCGAGCCGAGAGCGTCTTGCTGCTTTGGTCCCCGCCATCGATACCGACTTGGCGAGGTACAACAGCAACCGTTGCTCTCCTCACTCGCGCTACATCCAGGCTCAAATTGCAGAGTATGAGCGCTACCAGGCTATGAAGGCTCAGCAACAGCAGCAGCAGCAGCACACCTACCGCTCTCGCGAAACCACTTGGTCCAACAACCCGTGGAATGCGCCTCTCACTCCTCCGGATTCTGGCTATGGCACTCCCGAGTACGCCATGTCGGCTGCCTCCAGCAACGCTCGCTACAATGAGTGGTTCGCTCAGGCCGCTGCTCAGTACAGCAGCCGATACCCCCAGCCTCCGGCTCACAATACGTTTTACCCCAACCGTCAACCGTCGTATGGATCTCACTACCCGTACCACCACCACAGTGGTTGGGAACACGGTGTTGCTGAGTGCGGTTGCCCGGGATGTGTCGAGCCCATGAAGCAGACGCCTTACTTCATGTCCCATGGATATGGCCAACCTGTGATGGGTTAATGTTTGCAACGATTTTCCTTTTTTTTTTTTCCCTTTTTCCTTCATCTTTAGGGCTTAAATAGAGCCCCATTTTATTCCCTTTTCGGTCTCGGAAAAAAACGGTGCGGATTTCGAGTTTTTAATGGCTACGAGTTTTCGCTATCTTCTCTGTTCAAGAAGACGCGTGTTTTTTCAGATACCCCCGGCACGAAAAAAAGTCCTACACACGCGATCAGTTTCAGCACGTCTTTCTACAGCCTGTTTATGATGTCATCATGGCATGACCATCACCGATACCAGTGTGTCTTGTGAATTTTCTTTCAAGCACAGGCACTTTCTTCGTGGTCATTGATGGCTTCAACTATAAACGGCATTTTTTTTTATCACGGTACATGTTCATAATGGTTTGGTTCGGCGCAGGGTGACTCTTATATCACTACAAAATGTTCCTGGTGCGAAATGCGAGTTTGGTTCTTCCAACAACAAAAGGCAAAATTTGCCGTCTTTCCGTCTCCGTCATCGATCGCAGACTCGAATTGTTGGAGGCCTCACCATCTTGCAATTGCACCGAAAGCGAACATTGTCCACTCTTTCAAAGATTTTTTCTCTCTCTTGATACCATACTTATGGGATCTCTTGCGTTTGCGCACCGCACATATAGACCTGGCATTGGTACCCTACATTGGTACCTCGATAGATCTGGAAATCAGTCTTAGGCACTGCCTATAATCGGAGGCTTCACTTCGAAAATAACCGCGGTTTTGGGCAAATGTTCGAAACCCAACAAAAAATAAAGGTCTGAACCGTGTCCTCAAGGTCCCTACTGGCTCCGCGCCCCCGTTTTCGGGTTGGTTGAGATACCAAAATATTCGCGCTGGCCATGGCGACATTGTTCATGACGCAACAAAAGCAATAAAGATTTCAAAAGTTTGGGGACAGCACATATGGCACTATACTTGTTTGTTTGTGGTGGGAATGGGTGTCTTGTGCAAAATGGGTATTTTACGAGGGCGCTTTCATGCATTGTCTTCAGCGGGTAAAATGGAAGATTGGACCGGCTATATTTTTTTTTCACTTCTCTTGCGGCGCATTTATATCATTTCAATTTTTTACGGTCTTACATTCCGAAGCCATACGTCGCGACCATGATACCCCCGCTGGTATCATGTCGAGCTTGGCAGCATCGTGTATGCTTTGTCGGACTTTCTTCTTCTTTCTATGAGATGTTAGACGCCTTGTTTTTATGGGTTGATACTGTAGAGAAGGAAAGGCCTGGTTGCGAATGGCGAGGCGAAGATTTTTTTTTTTTGTTCGATTAATGAGTTTCTCTTCTTCCTTTCGCATGAATGCGGACAGATTTTCTGTATTCATATGATCAATTCCATATTTGTTGTCGTGGAATTCTGTTTGATTGGCGGGCGGGTGTGATTCGAGAATGATCCAATCACTTGCTGGAAGATGGATGGAGAGGCTTTTCTCCGCAACCCAGAGGTGTTTTATTGCGGAGGTAAAAATGGGTGGCAGATTATCTCATACGCACGAGCGTATGGGAAGTTGGGCGATGGTTGGAGAGTTCCATCATTGGAGGCTCTTTGTCCTGGCATGGGCAGCAATATGAAGGCCACGAGAAGGCTTCAGTCAAAGGCGACGCCTCCTATGGTGATCCTGTTGGCATCCCTATTGTGAGATTATAGTACAATTAAATTGATGAACAGCCCCGGCTGGACTTCATTTGTATATTTCGTGATTCTGAGCCTTTTTTTTTTTTTTTTTTTCAATTCCATACTTGTGCATGTTGCCACTCTGATCTAGATTCGCTGAAGCAGCCGGCTGATTGTCGGAATTTACAACTGACAACATCGGTTGAGTCGTTCTACACTCATGAGTATTCCAAACTTCCAATTTGTTACTGCAGGTTGGCTCTGATTTCCTTGGCCGCGAATTTCACGTCTCGATTTTCTTTGTTGACACATCTTATACATAATCAATCGTTTACCCCTTGTAATCTTTCTAATTACCCTTGCTTCAAAACGCTGCTGATTGGCCTTTTTACGCGTCGCCATCTATCCGAACTTGTGAGCTGTCCAAGAACTGGGCCAGCATCGTATTCTATACAGCTATAAGCAGCTACTCTATCCCCTCCAATTCCGCTCCTCAAAACCCGATCAACCCCCTCCTGCTGCGTAATCTGTATTTCATCATGTCTAGCCGCTTCGTTTCTGGCGGGACGATAAGCGGAGAAGGGTCGAAGGACGAGAGCGGACACGAGGTTGTTGCCGCGGCAAGGGAGCCGCTCGCGAAGAAGAGCGTTGAGTGGGAGACGGTGCAGCATGAGCTTGATGAGGAGAGGAAGCGGAGAGAGCAGGCGAGGGCGGAGTTGGCGGAGGGGGGACAGCAGAGCTTGTATGATATACTGCAGGCGAATAAAGGTTTGCGCTCTTGATTTCTTTTTCCTTTCTTGTTGTGTGTTTTTGGGAGGGGATGGGGAAATTTTTTAATGTGCTGACTGGGGTTTTCTTTTTGTCTTATGAGGATATAGCGGCCAAGCAGGCGGCTTTTGAAGAACAGAACAAGCTCAAGAATCAGTTCCGGGCGCTGGACGACGACGAGATTGAGTTTCTGGACGAGGTTCGGGCGAAGGAGAGGGCGGAGGAGGAGCGGGCTCGGAGGGAGGTTGAGGAGGGATTGAAGGCGTTTCGGACGAGGCAGAAGAGCACTGGGGGCGGCGAGACTTCGGGGCCGGCAAGGGTGGATGGGGGAGGGGAGGAGGAGGAGGAGTGGGCGGTTGGTGGGAGGAAGAGGAAGAGGCACGAGAGGGAGGTGTTGGGGGTGAAGAAGAAGGTCGTTGTTGGTGATAAGGGGGGAGGGAAGGATGAGGCTGGGGGAGTTGATAGGAGTGATGGTGACGATGAGAAGAGGAAGAAGAGTGAGAGTGAGAGTGTGGGTAAGAAGGAGAAGGAGAAGGAAAGGGAGCCTCCCAAGGAAGAGAAGAAGACGAGTCTGGGGCTTGTGGCATATGATTCAGACAGCGATGGTGACGATGATGATTAACACGATGGGGAAGAGAGACTCGACTCGGAAGAGGAGACTGCAAGTGTTGTTGCGAATTAATACAGCTGCAAAGCTCGATAATGTGTATATACGCCCTCTATCATGACCCATCCCTTCATCCATCCATAGCTCGCTCTCTGCCATTTTTGTGGGTGGTTTTCTTTTCTCATGTCCAATATCCAATTAATACACTCCCTCGCATACATACAGTAGTCATACAGCACATGCCCCATTGTTGATACAAGAAACTAAAAAAAAAAAAAAAAACACCCTCATGTACATCACATCATTGGAATCCTCCTTTTGTAAGATTAATCTTTTTTTTCAACACCTTTGTTTGCTTCAATCATCGTCCAAGTTTCCCAAGTCAGGGCCTTTCGGCTTGCTGGCAAAGGAGCTGGCGCCCCAGTGATACAAGCTCCTCAGGTTGCGCTTCATCCAGCCCTCAATCTCCGTCTCCGGAACGACAATCTGCTTCGCGCGAGCCTCGTCCTCGGGCTGAATCTCGAAGCGGCGCATTCGCTCCACGATGCGCGAGTCGACCACCAGATCTGAGGCCCAAATCTTCTCCTTGGGCGGCTCGGCGGCCTTTTTGGCCTTTTCTGCGTCGTCGGCGGGCTCGGGCTCGTCCTTCCAGACGAACTTGGGCCAGTCGTCTTCTTCCTGCTTCAAGACGAGCTGCTGCTCGTATTGGCCGTCGGCCTCACGCCAGTCTCGCGCGGCGGCGAAGCACACTGCGGCGACTTCTCGGCCGATGTCATCCGCCAGGCGACGGCGGGTGAAGAAGCGGCCAAGACGGACAAAGGTGTGACGGAAGCCAAGACGGTGGGGGAAGGCGATGGGAGTGGAAGGGGAGAACTCGGCGGGGATGGTGGCTGGGAGGGCTGCGGAGGGATAGTCGTCGGGGGAGTTGTGAGGGCGAGGCTGTGGCGGTCGCTTATCCTTCTTTTCTTCCTCTGGCTTCTTCTCTTCTTCTGGCTTCTTGTCCTCGGGCTTCTTATCACTGTCGCCTTCTGTAGATGGGGTTTCGGGTTCGGGCTTGTCTTCGAGCGTTTCGACAACTGGCAATGGCGGGGCGTCGAGAGGACCGAGCCATCCCTCGTGCAGTCCTCGAACATACTCCTTCCAAGTATGTCGCCCAATGACAATGTCGCCCTTGATTCCTTCGTATTCCGGTAGCCCAATCTTCTTCCTCTGACGTTCTACAATGGCTTCATCTGTTTCCGGCTGCTCTTCGTCCGGCCGCTCATGGGCCTTCCTGGATCTCCTGATCCTCTCGGCCACAGCCGCTCGCACGTCGCCCTGCTGTCGGCCTTGGACAAATTCCCAGTCGAGACCCGAAGCCGCTAGAATGGGCTTGACATACTCAATGAAATGATCCTGAGCAGTGCGCAGGCCATCTCCAGGAGGGGCTTCCAGGTAAACGGTAAGTTTGCGGGGCAGCTGGCTCGCATTGGGGAGTAGCTCTTTGGAGAGGGGCGCAACGGCTCGGCGCCATTTCGCTGTTGCGCGATTCTTCTCGCGCTTGTCGTAGATGATTGCGCCGGCGATGGACGAAGAGACGGCCCAGAAGATGAGCCAATTGCGGGAGGGGAGCTTGCGAGGGAGGGCTGGGAGACCCATCATCTTGAAGACGGGATTGCGCGGACGAGGAGGTTTTGAAGCGCCTGAGCCGGAGGCCGGCGGGGTTGAGGGATTGGCGTCGGCCATGGTGATGCGCGGCCTTGCTCGTGTGGTGCTCTTGAGCAGAAAGATGAAAAGAGGCAGAAGAGATGGCGGTCTAAGTATGCTTTTGCATCGTTTGCTGGTGGTGCGGGCCAGCTACGTTCTGCAGCTATTGACGGGTTATGCTGTCATGAGGTTGGAAAAAAATCGGATGCGATAAGGATGCGGGACACGATAAGGGCCTCGATAGCCGGCAAGATGGGCAGACCTGTCGGTTTACATGTGGTTTGGCTACTGGAGGTCATGGTAAAATAATTCAACGCGATTCCTACCTAGAGCTGGAGAAAATTTGTCTATAAATTTTTAGATGATTTGTAAAGCAATCCTTTGTATAATTCTTGGCCATTTCGATTTGCCGTTCGAGGAAATGGTCACCTCGGCGAAGGCAAGTTCTACATCTATGTATTGGTAGGTGCTTGGGAATGTGCCGTGTTGGTGTCGAAATTACCTACAATGGGGACCATGTTTACTTCATACACGTACCCAGTAAGAAGCATTCCATTATGTTGGGGCGATACGATAAATGAGCATATAGCTCTCGGTTCGTAGTAATTTGATAATTTCGCCTTTGTAACATCAATGATTGAGGTGATGGATGCCCTGTTCATTGGAGAACCGGGGTCTGCCGTTGCTCACCGAGACGACAAGGCGGCTTATTGAATGGACCAGGAGACGGCCCGGTGGGGGGGACTTTATATTATGCTTGCATCTGCATACATATACCTGTAATGTATAAAACAGTCGTTGGAAGACGGCCTGAAATTTTATCTGGCAGAGCATGTTCAGTATCAAGCAATTGGCTGATTGTGCTGATACTAGTGTTCCAGGTCAACCTGAGATCTAGTTAATGCTACATAAGAGATGGGTCACCAGGGATCCAGGGACTAATAGTGGCATGTGAGTTTAGATCTCAAGTACGGAGTGAGATAGGATGGATGGCTAATATATCCCGTACAAGGCGGAACGGCTGGACCCCTGAGATGGAAACGGCACAAGTGCCGGTGGAGAAGATGCGTCGATGGAACAGAGTGACCAGCAAAGGCCGTATACAGCACTGCGCTGTTGATAGAAGGAAGCAACTAAAATTGACGTATTCACTCCCAATTGAAGGAGCTAACTGTCATAATACTGGCATGCCACAATACAGTCAATAAGAGTAGAAATTGGCATCTGCTGGTGTATGCTTGGCGGTGATGTTCCCGCTATTTATTTCACACAAGCCTTGCTTACACCAATCCCTTTCTATATAAGCGTTCACAGCTACAGTACTACAGCATGCTGAAGTCGAACGGATTCATTTTTTGTCCTTTATTCCTATTCAACAGTGAAGCTCTTTATCAACCTATTTATTGACTCAGCCTTCACATAGTGATGGCACCACGGGGGACTAATTAGTGGCAGCTCACTTCAGCATCAAACGTGTCTAGGCCCCAACCAGAACAATTTAGCGGCCTACCAACCGCTGTGCCCACCAGCAGCCCCCTGGAACCCGGAAGATACCTGGCCTGACAGCCACCTGTAACGCGGCCACGCCCAGCTGGCGCCCGGCACACAGGTACCTCGCGAGTATTCATCACCCCGCCCATTGTCTTTTGGCGCATCTAGTCTGAGGTTGACCGCCCCCCATTTTCCCCTTGAGCCCAAAGCCAAACCATCTTCAAAAGGACTTGACTGGAGCTTCTTCAACAGCAAGACGCCAACTCCAAAGCTCAGGCCCCCAATCAGCGGCCAGGTCCCTGCTTTGCTCCTCTAAAAACTGGGCCAGCCCGCCTTGCGCTGCAGCGGAGCAACTCGCTTCGAATTGGCCAGTCAGGCTCCATCTCCAGCGCCTCTCCCCCTTTCCGACGACCCCTCAGGCCGTCAGGCTCGCATACAGCTGATTATTACCTGAGATTGATTGCTTATCGGCGTGGAGATGGATTCCAATCGTCTGCACTTGAACTTTGACAACCAACGGCCGGCCGCCAACGATCGTGCCTATCCAACGACTCCTTCAACCTTTCCTCAGCCTGTCTTCCAGGGCCAGTCTGGCAGCATGCAATCCTCCCAGCAGCAGTACGGCGCCGGCTACCCTCAGCAGCAGGGCTACTTTGCGCAGAACCAGTATGGTCAGCAGCAGTATCCTGGCCAGGCCGTGACGAGCGACTATCCCAACGCTGGCTATCCCCCGCAGTCTGGCGCGCCCGGCACCAACGACCCAAACACTGGCTTGGCTCACCAGTTCTCCCACCAGAACCTAGGCGGCGGTGCCGCGAGGGGAGGTCAATATGCTGGTCGAGGGCCGTCCTCAGGCCGTCCGCGAACTGCTGGCGGCTCGGGCCAGCAGGCCAGCTATGGCAACTACGCGCCTCCTTTGCCCAACCAGGGCGTTGTCTCGTCGCCCGAGTTCCAGCCCATCCCCGAGAGGAACCCTGATAAATACGGCACGAATGCCAATAGCAACCAGAAGAAGTGCTCACAGCTGGCTGCCGACTTCTTCAAAGACAGTGTCAAGCGAGCTCGCGAGCGTAATCAGAGGTACGAACGACGCTTGCATACATCTACCTACGCGTGCCTTTTCATTGCGTCAAATGTCTTTTGGATTACTGACATGTGAAAAACAACAACAGACAGAATGAGTTGGAGCAGAAGCTGCAAGATCCTGGTCAGAGCTCAACTAGGAGAGAGCAGCTGTGGTCGACCGCTGGCCGAAAGGAGGGCCAATATCTGCGATTCTTGCGTACAAAGGACAAGCCCGAAAACTACAACACCGTCAAGATCATCGGAAAGGGTGCTTTCGGCGAGGTCAAGTTGGTGCAGAAGAAGGGAGACGGCAAAGTCTACGCCATGAAGTCTCTGATCAAGACTGAAATGTTCAAGAAGGACCAGTTGGCCCACGTCCGCTCAGAACGTGATATCCTGGCCGAATCTGACAGCCCCTGGGTCGTCAAGCTCTACACTACCTTCCAGGACGCATACTTCCTCTACATGCTCATGGAGTTTTTGCCGGGTGGAGATTTGATGACCATGCTCATTAAATATGAGATCTTCTCAGAAGACATTACGCGGTTTTACATTGCTGAGATTGTCTTGGCCATTGAGGCCGTCCACAAGCTTGGCTTTATCCACCGGTACGTTCTGATTGTTGCATCCCCAACTTTCAAATGCTAGCCATCGACTAACTTTGGGTGGGAAATAGTGATATCAAGCCCGACAACATCCTGTTGGACCGTGGCGGTCACGTCAAGCTGACTGATTTTGGTCTCTCCACGGGATTCCACCGTCTCCATGACAACAACTATTACCAGCAGCTCCTGCAAGGCCGCTCCAACCGCCCGCGAGACCGGACTTCAGTTGCCATAGACCAGATTAACCTCACAGTCAGCAACCGATCTCAGATTAATGACTGGAGACGATCTAGACGGTTGATGGCTTACTCCACCGTCGGTACGCCAGACTATATTGCCCCCGAGATCTTCACAGGCCATGGCTACACCTTTGACTGTGATTGGTGGTCGTTGGGCACCATTATGTTCGAATGCTTGGTGGGCTGGCCGCCTTTCTGTGCTGAAGACAGCCACGATACTTACCGCAAGATTGTCAACTGGAGACAAACCCTTTACTTCCCTGATGACATTACGCTGGGTGCCGAGGCGGAGAACTTGATTCGAAGGTACGATATCCACTAGAAAATGCATACTGCTTTTTTTTTTTCAGAATACTTGACAGCTAACCTTGTCCACCTGTAGCATGGTTTGCAATACCGAGAACCGACTCGGAAGGGGAGGTGCTCATGAAATCAAGAGCCACGCATTCTTCCGTGGAGTCGACTTTGACAGCCTACGCCGCATCCGCGCTCCTTTCGAGCCCCGGCTGACCTCCAACATCGATACCACTTACTTCCCGACCGATGAGATTGACCAGACTGACAACGCGACTCTGCTCAAGGCCCAGGCCATCCAGAACCGCAACGGCCAGGCACCTGAGGAGTCACCCGAGATGAGCCTTCCTTTCATTGGCTACACCTTCAAGCGGTTCGATAACAACTTCCGATAGAAGGTCTCTGTTCCAGAAGATGAAGCGGGCATATGCAGTAGAGATTTTGAATTCGAAGCGAATTAGAGCTGCGATTAGAGGATGGAGATGTGAAATTTGAGAGGGGGGGTCTATGCTTAATCGGCTGACCAAGATACGAGGAGCAATCTGCATCAGAACCAAAATGGTACATTGTCGTTTATTGAAATGCATTATACTGGGCATGGAAAAAAAAAATCGTGCTGACATCCCTTGTTCATATTGCTGGAAGATGCTTTTCATTTTTCTCATACGCATGCGTTAGTCTAAGACCGTGGATACATCAGTTGCGAAAGAAGCTTCTTTGGTATTGCAGTATATGATTTGATATAAGTGATTTAAAAAATGACCCCGTAAATCCAATTTCCCTATTTAATATGTACATGTGTTTGTCGTTATTATATCCTAGCATTCGTAACCTTGCTTGTGCTAGAGATGCCTAGTTTCCACCTTTGTGCTATTTTCTCCTCGCTCATTCTAAGACTGATTCAACTGTTGAGCTAAACAGCTAGATGCAGGTCAGCTAAATTTGCACGTTGGTATTGAGCCAACGGACAGCCTCTTACCCCGTGAGTTGTGATATCGTTGCCTGCTAAATATTCCGCCACGTTCGCACTGTCGGTGCCATATAGGACGGGGCTATACAAAGGTCCTTCCGTCCTTATTGGGTATCAAGAGCCGTCATGTTGAGCACTGGCGACCATCAGATAGAACCTCCACGTAGCGTCATGCTAATTATCTTTAATCCCCCTTCCCTCTCAAATGTTCATCTCCTGGCTGTCAAACCAGGAGCAGCGTTGAAACGCTCCTCACGCTCCGTCATGAACATGACTTGGATCCAGTACTCCTTCGAATCCGGATCCCAGAAGCAGAACTGCTTATCCTCTCGCTTGTCCAGCTCTCGCGCAGGAATCTTGAACCCCACACTCTCGTACGGCTCGGCGGCGACGACCAGGTACTGAAAGTTCTTGTCGGGCTCCTCGGCGCGCTGGGTGAAGGCGTTCATGACCTGCCACTTGGGCGCCAGCTCGGGCGTGGCATCGGGGTACTGCAGCTGGAACAGGAGGCCCTGCTGGCGCGTCACGGGGTCGCGGATCTTTGTGATTTTGTATCCCGGGCGGCCAATCTTGACGACGTTGCGGCGCGCGTTGAGGTTGGCGGCGACGCTGGCGGGCAGGCCCGTGGCAGGGTCGATGTTCTGCTTGCCCTCCTTCTGCTCGCGGGCGGCGCGGCGGGCGAGGTTCGTCTGGTGCTTCTTGCCCTGGGTGTGGGCGAGGTAGGAGCCGTCGTTTTGGTGGACGGTCAGGCAGAGGCGGCACTCGAAGGAGCCGACGTGGTTCTTGAAGAAGTAGGGGTCCTTGTCGAGATCGATTGTCTCGAGGGCGAGCTTGCGAAGTCGTTCGCGGCGGTCGGCGTTGGTGGCGGAGTGCGAGGCGACGCCGCCGCCGCCGAATTTGGAGCCTGCGCGGTTTTGGTAGTCCATTGAGACGGGCTGCGGGTATCTGGATTTGCGGTGGTTTGTGTAGACGTGAGTTGAGGAGAGTTGGTTGAAAAAGAAAAAATGAGTTTGTAGGCGCGTGTTATGCAGAGCTACGAGAATCGATGGCAAAAGTTACAAGGTGGGCAAGGCTGAAGGGTAGGTGGATTATGTAAAGGTGATAAGGCTAGCCAATCAGCGGGTACCTATGTGCTGCTATACTCAGTATTGGTACTAGGTAGGTACTTAATAGGTATTCTACTTCAGAGGCAGTATTGAATGAACAGCTGCTGTTCGCTTTTTATTCACCGCCTCAAATCGCCAACAAGTCGTTATACTTTGACACAAAGGCCTTCACCGCGTCCACAAATCTGTCCAGTTCCGACTGCGGCGTCTCCAGGACCAGCGCAATGAAGCCTCTCCGCGTGACCCAGAAGCGCTGTTCCAGCATCTCAAACCAAAACAAATCCTTGAGAGCATCATTTTCCCGCACATCGTCTCCACTTGCAATATCCTTCACCTCTACATCTCCTTCGACGAAATGAGAGCACATGACAGAACCAATTCCTGTGAAACTTATTCTTGTTCCTTTGACTGCTTCCTGAAGCCTGGATAGAAACAATGAGCCCATTTCGGTAAACTTGTCCGCTACATCAGGAGTGTAAATCTTATTGAGGCCTGCGTAGCCGGCATGTGTCACAAGAGTGTTGTTATTGAAGGTGCCAGAGTGCGAAATCGAGGTGGATAGTCTTGGATCGAAGGCAGCCATGATGTCAGCTCTCCCACCAAGGGCGCCAAAAGCGAGGCCGCCGCCTAGATATTTGCCAAATGTCTTGAGATCGGGTTTGATTCCTCGCAGGCCTGCAAAACCAGAAGCTGAGATTCTAGAAGTCATGACCTCGTCAAGGATGAACACCACGCCGGCCTATATATGATATGAGTAAGTATAGGTGCTGAATAAGAGGGTATAATTCTCAGTTTCCTTTACCTTGGCGGCAGCGTCTTGGATGCCAGTCAGGAATGCTGGAGTTCCAAGAATACACCCTCCATTTCCTTGCATGCCTTCCACCAAGACGGCGGCCACTCCCTCGCTCTGGATTGCCTTGATGGCAGCATCCACATCATTATACTTGACGACGATCCAATCATTGGGATCAACATTGTTAGGCGCTGGTTTCCCATCTTTGAAGCCCAGCACTCCTCCATGGTAGCCTCTATTGAACACAACCACCTTTCGTTTATTGGTAAAGACTCTCGCAGCGGCCAAAGCATGCAGATTGGCCTCAGTGCCGGAGTTGGTGAAGCGCACTCGTTCCAGTCCAAAGCGCTGGCAGAGTTCCTGGGCAAACAATTGCTCCTGAGACGTCGTTGCGCCAACATTCATGCCCACGTTCTGAAGGACATTGCTCACGGCATCGAGAATCACGGGATTGGAGTGGCCATAGAGCGCTGCCGTGAATTCGCATGTAAAGTCTGTGTAGCTGCACAAGCTGAGTCAATAAAACAAGAAGCCTGGAAGTACACCATATCCACCTACATATTCCCATCCTCAGAAGTAAGTTGATAGCCTTGACCGGACTTCATGCAGATGGGGAAGGGGTCCGTATGAAGCACCGTCCTTGTATTGCCACCAGGGAATGATTTGGTGGCTTGTTCATGGATTGCCTGGGATTTGGCATTTCGGTTTATATAGAGGGCTTTGGCTTCATCAAGGGCCACAGAAAGCTTGTGAGGCGAATCCGGTGACATTGTGTGGTGTGGAACTGGAAGCTGAGTGACTTGTAAATTAAAGAAATCCAGACGCATGCGGGAGTCTACAAGTGTGAGGGGGATTAATATGCATCAAGACTACGAGTACACTGTCTTATATATGTCTAGTAGTATCGCTCCATCTTGCCTACCGGCTGCAGTTCTCAGCTTCAGGCGGGGTTGCTTCTCTACGAGCCACCGGCATCAATATTTTGGGCACGATAGCAAGGATTAACGGCTTCCATATCTGACTTGATTGCATCACCCGAGATCGAAAGTGGGAATCAAAGGGTCGTTAGGTCGATTTGCTCAACAGTAAAAGGAAACCCACGTCGAATATCTGCCTAATTGGGCATTTTGGGCTCTTTGCATTGCGGAGAAGTGCTAATTTTGTCAGCTTGTACTCCGTACTGGCGTCGCATTTCGCAACTGAAAGATTACCTGTAGCGTCTTTCAATTGCGAAATGCGAAATGCTTGCTTACTAAGGCCTCCATGTTGTTTCTCCTCTATCTGCGCAGACATATGGGGCCGATAGCAAGGCGGTGTGGAGGGGCGCTGGCAGAATCGATATCCCACTTAATTTTTTTTTCTTAGCACGGCAACCACAGTTGGAGGAACGCCGCAGCCGTTATCAAGAGAACTCGACGATTGACAACGACAAATCACAATGGCAGGTTCAATTAACAAGCCCAAGAGTATGTTTTAAACCATAGCAACAGTCAATCAGCCCATGAACAGATTTGTTTCGATCTTGGGCCATCTCATCATCTTTCCTTGGTGTGCTAACCATGGCGCAGAACCCAAGTCCAAGCGGACAACCACCCGCCTTCGCAACAAGATCCAGAAGGCGTCCGCAGCCAAGCAGAGAAAGGATCGCAAGCTCGCCAAAAAGAACCCAGAATGGCGATCCAAGCTGAAGAAGGACCCCGGAATCCCCAACTTGTTCCCCTACAAGGAGAAGATGCTGGAGGAGATTGAGCAGAAGCGCGCAAAGAAGGCCGAGGAGGCTCAGAGGAGAAAAGAGCTGGCCAAGGCTGCCAAGACGGGCGCCGAGGACAAGAACGAGGATGCCATGGATGATGCCGAGGAGGTCGACGACGATCAGATGGATGAGGATGGCGACATGGACGAGGATGTCGACGAGTCGAACCCAATGGCGGCGCTCATTGCCAGCGCTCGTGCTGCTGCGGAAAAGTACGACAAGTCTCTTGCTGCCAGCGACGATGACATGGACGAGGACGACGACGATGAGGACAGCGACAGCGATGCTTCTGACGACGGCGCACATGTTTCGATTGGCCAGGCCTCGTCAAGAAAGACGTTTGACAAGGTCTTCAAGCAGGTCGTCGAAGAGGCCGACGTCGTGCTGTACGTGCTCGACGCCCGCGACCCAGAGGGCACCCGCTCGCGAGAGGTCGAGCGCAGCGTCATGGCTGCTGCGTCCGGAGGCAAACGCCTCATCCTCATCCTCAACAAGGTCGACCTGATCCCGCCCAAGGTCCTGCGCGACTGGCTCGTCTACCTGCGCCGGTACTTCCCCACGCTGCCGGTGCGGGCATCGCATGCGGCTGCCAATGCGCATGTGTTTAGCCACCGTGACGTGACTGTGCAGAGCACCTCGGCCGCCCTGTTCAAGGCCCTCAAGAGCTACGCCGCCAGCCGCGACCTGAAGCGTGCTGTGTCTGTCGGTGTTATCGGCTACCCCAACGTCGGTAAGAGCTCCATCATCAACGCTCTTCTCAGCAGGGTGAGCGGCAAGGGCAGCAACAACGCCAAGGCCTGCCCAGCTGGCGCCGAGGCCGGCGTCACCACCAGCATCCGCAAGGTCAAGATCGACAGCAAGCTCACGCTGCTCGACTCCCCCGGTGTCGTCTTCCCGTCGTCTTCATCCATCCAGTCGGGAGGCCTCGTCGCCATCAAGAACGCCACCGAGGCCCACGCCCACCTCGTCCTCCTCAACGCCGTGCCCCCCAAGCAGATTGATGATCCTATTCCCGCCGTCAGCCTCCTTCTCCGCCGTCTCTCTACCACCCCTGAACTGCTCCAGAAGCTCACCGCCGTGTACGACATCCCCGCGCTTCTGCCCAACAGCGTCGACGGCGACGTCACCACGGACTTCCTTGTCCAAGTCGCCCGCAAGCGCGGAAGGCTCGGCCGCGGAGGCATCCCCAACATCAACGCTGCCGCCATGACCGTCGTCACGGACTGGCGTGACGGCCGTATCCAGGGCTGGGTCGAGGCTCCCGTCCTGGCCGTCGAGTCCGCCAACGGCACTGCTCCCAAGTCAACGTTCAAGAACGCCGGCGAGGAGGACGTCATGGCCGACCAGAAAGAGATTGTCACTGAGTGGGCTGCTGAGTTCAAGCTCGATGGCCTGTGGGGCGACGACGCCAACGAGGCTGCGAATGCGGATGATGCCATGCAGCAGTAAAAGAACTCATGATGCAAATGTGACTGGAAATCTTTTTTTATCATATATGGATGTTGTTGCTTTTTAGTCCCCCGGACGCGGTTTTAATTCTTTTCTCATAACGAGTTTGGCGTTGTAGGCTGGTTTGGTCAAAAATAAAACGGACTTGGGCCGGATGTACACATATAGATATGTCAATACATATAGATGTACACGTCTTTTCAACAAAAGGAAGGATTCCCTAGGATACAAGTCTCTCAATTCTTCCTCTTTATTCGTACTCTAGTCTCTAGCAGTTGTGAAATGTCCCCCCCTCAGATTATACTTCATTAAAATATCATGCCTTATGCCCTCTTTTATCTTTTCAAGCACTCACCAACTCCATCTTGACGCCCCTCTTGCCCGTCCTCTCGTCCTTATCATCATGGACTCTAACCACAACCTTTTGGAAGAGCTCTACCTTGACAGCCTTATCACCCTTTGTCGTCAACGTATACGTCTCAGCGTCATACTCGCTCTCAGGCTCAGGATCAGCCAAATCGCGCAGCCGAATCAAGCCCTCGATACCAAACCGCGGCACCAGGACCACAAATCCGTTGCTAAAAATCTTCATCACAAAGGCCTCCTCCTCAGCAACCTTGCCCTTCAGAGCCTGGCCGACGTAGTAAGCGATACTAGCCCGGCCGGCCATCTGGGCATTGCGGTGGCGGACGTTGATGTTCTTGCACACAGCCTCGAGGCGGCCACGGCTGCGCACAGAAGGATGAACGGCCTCGTAGCCGATGGCAGCGGCAAGCTGTCTGTGAGCGAGGAGATCTGCGTATCGACGGATAGGAGAGGTGAAGTGTGTGTAAATCTCAGAGGCAAGGCCGTAGTGGCGGAACTCGGGGTATGCCTGGGTTCCGGAGCAGAAGTACTCTGCGCTCATCATGCATCGTGTGGCCATGATACGGACAAGAGTATTGAAGAATGGATCCTTTTCATCGACGCACTTGTCGAGGGAGTCGGCCAGCGCCTTGCTCGAGTCAGTACGCAGCTCCAAGCCACGCTTGATACGCAGCTGATCGGCCAGCTCGTCAAAGTTGGTCTTAGGAGGAGCGCCGTGGCGACGCAGGATGGCAGTTTGAGGAAATGCCTCGTAGATCTTGGCGGCAACGCTGACGTTGGCGAACAACATGAACTCCTCTACAAGAGAGTTGGTGTCGAGGAGCTCCTTTGTCTTGACGTCAATGGGGTCCGAGGATTCCGACTCCATGTGCACCTTGATCTCGGGGGAAGACAGACTCAAGGCACCGGCATCCATACGCTTCTTCTTAAGCTTCTTTGAAAGCATGAGCAGCATTCGCATGCCCTTTGTGAGGTCATCTTGCTGAGAATTGTCGTCGATACGAAGCTGAGCTTGTTCGTAGCTGAATGCCTCGCGAGACTTGATAACGGACTTTGTAAAGCGAACATTTACAATGTCGGCATTCTCATCAAGCTCCCAGATAACCGTAAACGCAAAACGCTCAACATAAGGCTTGAGAGAGCAGAGATCGGTTCCGAGCAGCATAGGAAGCATGTCTATACGCTTGTCAACCAGGTAAACCGTGGTGCCACGAATACTGGCCTCTGTGTCCATTGCGTTTGCGGGCTTGACAAAGTGGGATACGTCTGCAATGTGGACGCCAACCTCGTAGTTGCCGTTTGGCAATAACCTGGCGTGAAGAGCATCGTCGATGTCTTGACAACCGGGCGGATCAATACTGCAGATGAGAAGATCGCGAAGGTCTTCCCTGTCTCTCCAGCCTGGATCCTCTTTGTTCTCGGGCACCCTCCAGTCATGGCCCTCCTTCGGAAGGCAGTCAAGCACCGTTTTGGGGAAAGGCCGGTACTGCACGTCCCATTCGAGAAGCAGTGCCTCCGTCTCGGCTGCCTTGGTCTCAAGCTCTCCCAGGGAACGAACCAGGTGCCCCACAGGATGTCTTGAATCTCTGTCCCAAGAATCGACAGTAACTAACAGTCTCTTCCCCAACAGCTCAGACACCTGACGAGTGCGCAGACGGATCTTGGGAATCTTCTTGTCCATGGGGATGAGGAAGACGCTATCGAGTCTGCGACCTTGTGATGGACCTTTGCTAGCCGTTGATGGATCAATGTGACCGACGTACTGTCGCCAGTTACGTTTCACCACACCTACAACCTTGGCTGTTGGCTGCAGTTGGTTCTCCCCCGATGCCTTTTGTGTCCTCTTCACCTCCTCTTGAAGTGCCTTCCGCTCTTTGTCCGATACAAAATCCTGGCGCTCCTCTGTGTCCGCATTCTCGTTCTTCGTAATCGTGTCCTCCTCGATAATCTTTGTTGATGGTGACTTCCATTGGTCTTGTGGGAGCAGCTCGACAACAACAACATCGCCATCGATAGATCGGTTAATGTTCTCGCGACCCAGAATAAGTAGCGGCTTCGGGAAGGCAGGCACCTTAATCGACCCTTCAAGATAATTATACGGCGACACATTGAAGATTCCCTGATGCAACAGCCCCGCCTTGACCCCGGTCATCATCCTCGAGGAGGTATAATACTCTGGATAAAGGGGCTGTTGGGAAGATT